AATAATTCTGCAGTGAACATAGGGGTGCATATACCTTTTCAAGTTTTTGTTTTCTTCAGTTAAATACCCAGAAGTGGAATTACTACGTTGTAGTATAGTTCTGTTTTTAATTTCTAAATGTTTTCCACAGTGGCTGCATCATTTTGCATTCCCACCAACAATGCCTGAGGGTTCTCTTTCTTCTACATCTTCACCAATGCCTGTAACTTCTTGTCCTTTTGCTAATAGCCATTCTGACAGGCGTGAAGTGATGTTTCATTGTGGTTTTGATTTTAATTTCCCTGATGTTAAGTGATGTTCAGCATCTTTTCAAGGGTCTGTTGGCCACACGTCTGTCTTCTTTCGAGAAATGTCTATTCAGGTTCTTTGCCCATTTTTAAATTGGATTGTTTGTTTTTTTGATAAGGAGTTGTGAGTTCTTGATATATTTTGGATATTAACCCCTTATCAGTTATATTATTTGTGAATATCTTCTTGCATTCAGTAGACTGCTTTTTCATTTTGTTGATGGTTTCCTCTGTTGTGCAATATCTTTTTAGTTTGATGTAGACTTATTTAGGTTTTTTTTTTCCTTTTGTGCTCTTGCCTGAGGAAACAGATCCAATATATATTGCTCACTTCAATGTCCAAGAGCTTATTGCCTAAGTTTTCTTCTAAGAGTTTTATGGTTCCCAGTCTCAGATTTAAGTTGTTAATCTATTTTGAGTATATTCTTGCATATGGTGTAAGAAAGTGGTCCAGTTTTATTCTTTTGCATGTAGTTGCCAAGTTTTTCCAAAATTATTTATTGAAGATACTATCTTCTCCCTATTGTATGTTCCTGCCTCCTTTGTCAAAGATTAATTGACCATATAAATCTGGCCTTATTTTTGGACTCTGTGTTGTGTTCTCTTGATCTATGTGTCTGTTTTTGTGCCAGTGCCATACTGCTTTGATCACTATAGTTTTGTAGTATAGTTCAAAATCAGGGAGCATGATAAATCCAGCTTTGTTCTTCTATCTCAGGATTGCTTTGGCTATTTAGTATCTTTTGTGATTCCACATATATTTTAGGATTCTTTTCTCTAGTTCTATGAAAAATGCCATTAATATTTTCATAGGGACTGCATTGAACCTATAGATTGCTTTGGGTAGTATGGATATTTTAACAATGTTAACTACCCAATCCATGAGCATGGTATATCTTTCCATTTATTTATGTTATCTTCAATTTCTTTTATCAATGTCAAGAGTGATGTAGATGTAATCTTTATAAAATTGCTAATGGCAATTTGAATAGGAAATCTCTCATATACTCAGTTCTTTGGCCATACTGATCCCTTATTTTTAACTAGTCTCCCAGATGACATAATAGCCATTAAAATAAAGTTTTCTAGGGTGCCTGGGTGGCTCAGTCAGTTAAGTGTCTGGCTCTTGATTTTGGCTCAGGTCATGATCGCACAGTTTCTGGGATCAAGCCCTGTGTCAGGCTCCATGCTTGGCATGGAATTCTCTCCCTCTCTTCCCTCTCTGCCCCCCCCCCCACGCTCTAAATAAATAAGTAAATAAATAAATAAACATTAAAAAAGGAAACAAAATCAAGTTTTCCACTTATTCGTCACGTGTGTGTGATGAAAGAATAACCTAATGATAAAAGATGACTCATTTTCCTTTGACGATTTTTGGACAGTTAGTGTCTGATTTATAATAAGGTGCTTAGTTTATGCTGTTGAGTTCAGGATAACTTTGGCCTACTATCATCATCCTAATTATATATAGCACACCTAGGTTCTGCTCAGAGGCAAACATAAACCTAGCAGTAGTGCTACACTTATGGAATGTGTTTGAGAGACTAAATCAAAGTGTTTGAGAGACTAAAATGGGCCATGCTAAACATCTTCACGCAAAGAGACTGAAGGCTGTCTTCTCAGGGGAAAGCCTAAGTCATGAGAGGAAAGCAAAAGAAGTTTTAAACGGGAGAAGCAGTGTTGCAGAGCAAGCATGAGAGCCAAGGTGAGGGAATAAATAGAACGAGGTCACAAAGTCAGAAGCCAGGAAGAATAAGACTACATAGAGAAGTGTAATAAAGACAGAATAAGGCAAATGGTTGTTCATTAGTATAGGGAACAATGCAAGGGTTATAGAATCCCACTACTATTTTTGCGGGCTGCATGATATGCAGAAACACTCAGGGGTTAAAGTGCACGGTAGAACAGAACTGTTCTTTAAAACCTGAATTATCGGGGCGCCTGGGTGGCGCAGTCGGTTAAGCGTCCGACTTCAACCAGGTCATGATCTCGCGGTCCGTGAGTTCGAGCCCCGCGTCGGGCTCTGGTCTGATGGCTCAGAGCCTGGAGCCTGTTTCCGATTCTGTGTCTCCCTCTCTCTCTGCCCCTCCCCCGTTCATGCTCTGTCTCTCTCTGTCCCAAAAATAAATAAACGTTGAAAAAAAATTAAAAAAAAAAATAAATAAATAAAACCTGAATTATTAACTCATGTACTCTACATAAAATTCCTAGACTATTCACTAAAATTCCTAGACTATTAGAATGTATCCTAATATTTGTTTCTTGGCCTCTTACTACGTACTAAATGATGATGCTACAAAAAAGCACAAGATGGACATAACATAGATGATCAAATCTTTGCTACATTTTTGGCCTTTAGAGAATAGCCTTGATAGGGTGACTTCATCTCTAAATCACCTATGAATATGAATTCGCCATATGAATATAAGGAAGTTTTCAGAACACCCTATTTTTGGAAAAAATATCCAAATATTAGTCAAAGTTATTGGCAAACACAATATGTGCCCATATTGTGCATTGCATAATAATTTGAAAAGAATTAGCTAATTCTGAAATATATTACTTAAACATTTTTAAGGTAAATGCTTTTAATGTAAGAAAAATTTGAGGAGTATTGTTGGTTAATTGTACATCATAGTAGTTTGTTATGTTAACAAAGTAAGTACTGAAAGGGGCACCCGGCTGTCTCAGTTGGTAGAGCATGCAACTCTTGATCTTGGGATTCAAAGTCTGAGCCCCACATTGAGTGTAGAGATTGCTTTAAAAAAAATCTTTAAAAAAACAGTGACTACTTGTGTATCAATTTTCACAGAGGATACTATCACATCTTTCATGCCTGCTAGCTATGCAGAAGAAAAATAGCAAAAATTAGGTTGAGTCAATTAGACGAGATAATGCATGTGAAAATGGTTAGTACAGGACTTGGAATAAGAGATACTCAATGATTTTTTCTTGGGGAAACTAAGACAAAGAATGCCTATCTCAAGTTATCCAGGGAAAGAATTTAGAATTCTTATGGAATATGTTGCCTTTTGTTTGCTGTGTTGGACCTAGAAAAAGAGGCTTGCCTGACTATAATTTTTCTCTTTGTTGTATTGGTTAATGTAATGATTACAAAATGGCACATATACTATGTTGACATTTTTTGCTGTTAAATGATAGTCATACCTTAATGACAATGAAGCTTTGTCTATTTTGAGCTTCAGTCAACACACTTAACATCTCTGAGTCCCAGCTTTCTTACCAGTGTGATGGGTTTACTACTTCCTGCCTCATGAGACTGTTCTCAGAGTTAAGTGAAAGACATACTGTGGCTAATACAGGGCCTGACCAAGAGTATATACTCCATAGAGGAAATTATATGTAATTTATTTTAAGAGAATCTAAATATTTTTGGCAATATTTTGGTCCATTCATTAGGAAGTCTCTTCCAGAGGTGCCTATGATATATTCAGACTGGAGAATTTGGTTCACCTTTTTAGCTTTTCTGATTAGACGCTTTTAATGGCTCCATCCTTGAAAAATATATTAAAAGGATTTTTACTCTATTTGCTATAAGCTTTCTTGTTATTTGGCAGAGAACATTATTTTACACTATCCCTTAAAGGATCCAAATGGGAGTTGAAATGGCCTCTGAAAGTCTTGGGTATTTTTAATCTTCTAAGTCTTCAACCAATTGTCATTTCATTAAGGTGCCCTGCCGAGATGTTCTTTCACATACCATCATTAAGATGAATTGTAGCTCTGCTCTATAATACACATATTAGAAGCTCAGTTCACATGTGCTGAAATTATAACTACAGACACGATTCCAGTTCCTGGAGAGGAGCACAGAATCACAGCTGCTGTTTCAGGGAGCTTTGCTGTCAGTTTCAAGTTCAAAAACTACCTTCCTAATGATGACAACAGAAGTCCAAAATAAGAATAAAAATGTTAGCTTTTTGGCAAAAAAACCCCACGAGGATTGAAGTGATTTCAAAGATTATTTTTAATTACTTTTATTTGGTAAAATATACATAAAATATAGCATACATTTATCATTTTAACCATTTGTAAGTATACATTCAGTGGCATTAAATACTTTCACAGCGTTGTGTGATTGTCACCACTATATATATCCTATGCTTTTTCATCATCCGCAACATAAATGCTGTATCCATTAACCAATAACTTTTCCTTCTCCCTTACCCCCAGATCCTGGTAACCTTTATTCTGCTTTCTCTCTCTATGAATTTGCCTATTCTAGGTGCCACGGATAAGTGGAATATATGGTATTCCTTATGTGTTTGGCTTATTTCATTAATCACAATGTTTTGAAGTTCCATAGTGTTGTGGCATATATTAAAATTTCATTCATTTATATGGCTGGATAGTATTCCATTGTATGTGTATCACCTTTAGTTTATCCATTCATCAGCAAACACTTGGGTTGCTTCTATCTTTTGGCTGTGGTGAATAATGCTGATATGAATGCTGATGTACAGATATCTGTTCAAGTTACTGCTTTCAATCCTTTTGGACATAGACATAGAAGCGGAATTACTACTGGGTGATATTGTAGTTCTGTGTTTACCTTTTTGAGGAAACAACAAACCATTTTTCATAATGCTAGCACCATTTTATATTCTCACCAGCAGTGCACATGGGCTCTAATTTCTCCACATTGTCACCAGCACTTGTTATTTGCTGGTTTATTATTTTGATGATCATTACTATTATAGCCATCTTAGTAGATGTGAGGTGGTATCTCACTGTGGTTTTGATTTGCATTTCTCTAATGATTAATGATGTTGAGTCTCTTTTTATGTGCTCATTGGTCATTTGTATATATTCTCTGGGAAAACATCTATTCAAATTCTTTGCCTATTTTTAAATTGGATTGTATATGTTTTGTTGTTGAGTTGTAGGAGTTCTTTATATACTGTGGATATTAATCTCTTGCCAGATGTATGATTTGCAAATATTTTCTTCCATTCTGTAGGGTATCTTTTCACTTTCTTGATAGTCTCTGCTAAGACACAAACAATTTTAATTTTGATGAAGTTCAATATATCTATATTTTGTTGCCTGTGTTTCTGAGGTCATAGCAAAAGTTGTTTTTTAAAGTTTCAAATAGAACTTTAACATTGATTTTCAGTGTTTATTTTTACAACTTGCTTCTTGTTATCTGTTACTATTAAAAATGTTTTTTTAATTTTTATTTAATTTATTTTTTAAATTTACATCGAAGTTGTTAGCATATAGTGCAACAATGATTTCAGGAGTAGATTCCTTAGTTCCCCTTACCCATTTATCGCATCCTCCTTCCCACAATCCCTCCAGTATCTCTCAGTTCTGCACATTTAAGAGTCTCTTATTTTTGTCCCCTTCCCTGTTTTTATATTAGTTTTGCTTCCCTTCCCTTGTGTTCATCTGTTTTGTCTCTTAAAATCTTCATATGAGTGAAGTCATATGATATTTGTCTTTCTCTGACTAATTTCGCTTAGCATAACACTTTCTAGCTCCATCCATGTAGTTACGAATGGCAAGATTTCATTCTTTTTGATTGCCAAGTAGTAAGTACTCCATTGTGTGTGTGCATGTATATATATACATATAGACATTTGTGTGCATGTGTATATATATATACCTATAGGTATATATATATACACATGCACACACAATGGAGTATATATATGTATAATGATATATATATATGTATAATGGTATGCATATATATATACATACACACACACACACACACACACACATACATACACCACATCTTCTTTATCCATTCATCCATCAATGTACATTTGGGCTCTTTCCATACTTTGGCTATTCTCAATAGTGCTGCTATAAACATTGGGGTGCATATGCCCCTTCAAAACAGCATACCTGTATCCCATGGATAAATACCTAGTAGTGTAATTGCTGGGTTGTGTTTTTAATTTTTTGAGGAACTCCAACTGTTTTCCAGAGTGGCTGCTCCAGTTTGCATTCCTACCAGTAGTGCAAAAGAGATCCTCTTTCTCCACATACTCGCCAACATCTGTCGTTGCCTGAGTTGTTCATGTTAGCCATTCTGACAGGTATGAGGTGGTATCTCATGGTGGTTTTGATTTGTATTTCCCTGAGGATGAGTGATGTTGAACATCTTTTCATGTGTCAGTTGGCCATCTGGATTGTCTTCTTTGGAGAAGTGTCTTCATGTCTTTTGCCCATTTCTTCCCTGGATTATTTGTTTTTTGGGTTTGATAAATTTGGGTTTGAGTTTGATAAGTTCTTTATAGATTTTGGATACTAACCATTTATCTGATATGTCATTTGCAAATATCTTCTCCCATTCTGTCAGTTGCCTTTTAGTTTTGTTGATTGTTTCCTTCGCTGTGCAGAAGCTTTTTTATTTTGATGAGGTACCAATAGTTCATTTTTGCTTTTGTTTCCCTTGCCTCCAGAGACATGTTGAGTAAGAGGTTGCTGCGGCCATGGTCAAAGAGGTTTTTGCCTGCTTTCTCCTGGAGGATTTTGATGGCTTCCTGTCTTACATTGAGGTCTTTCATCCATTTTGAGTATTTTTGTGTATAGTGTAAGAAAGTGGTCCAAGTTCATTCTTCTGCGTGTCGCTGTCCAGTTTTCCCAGCACCACTTGCTGAAGAGACTGTCTTTATTCCATTGGATATTCTTTCCTGCTTTGTCAAAGATGAGTTGGCCTTATGTTTTTGGGTCCATTTCTGGGTTCTCTCTTCTGTTCCATTATTCTGAGTGTCTGTTCTTGTGCCAGTACCATACTGTCTTGATGATTACAGTTTTGTAACACATCTTGAAGTCAGGAATTGTGATGGCTCCTGCTTTGGTTTTCTTTTTAAAGACTGCTTTGGCTATTCGGGGTCTTTGTTGGTCCCATACAAATTTTAGGATTGTTTGTTCTAGCTCTGTGAAAAAAAAAAAATGTTTTCTTGGTTTACAGGGTGCCATGACTGGTGACTAATCCCTTTTGTAGTCATGAGAGGGGACAAGACAAGGTAAACTCTGTCCATGATATTCAATACCCAGGCTCACAGGTAGGACTGGATCTGTTGTTGGGACACACTCACATATTAAGAACTCTGTGCCTGAGGAACATGTGCTCCACTTTGCCTTTATTCCGTCTTTGTCAGAATCAACTCTATTTACTGCTTAGCTTGCAGTCAACTGAAGATATGACCCAAAAGTCATGTCTACTCTCCCAGTGTACCAAATACTTGTAAAGTCTTCACTAAACCAAAGCTGATCTCAAAATATAGAATTGCCCAATTATTACTTTGTTTCCAAATTCTCATCTTATTCTCTCATATTTTTGGCTCAACGGGGGGAATAATGGGAAGGAATGAACAGGAAGGAAAAAAAGTGAGCAAAGTGCCAAGCTAAGAGGTACATGAGGACCTAGAATACCAGAAAAGTCAGTGCCAGCCTCAGAAACAGTATAGTCCCACTGCCATTTGTGGCTCAGGAAGACCAGGCCCAATAACCAGTTTATCCTTTCCTTGTGGGTTTTTATCAAACTCTGTCCCTAAGAAGTTTCTGAATATCAAATGTCTTAAAACTTAGACTGAGGCTTCATCCAAAGTTGACAGATCAGAAAAGTAAAACACCATGTGAACATGAATAAGTCAAAACCACCACACCCATTGCTTATTCACTGACTGTAAAGACTAGTAAACATCTCTAAGATGTGTCATAACTATGCTTTTAATCCTTTTCTCTAGTACAAATAAAACAGCCCAGACACAAGCAATGTATACAGTTAAAAGTACACATTAGTGTGACTATCTCAGCAATTGTACAATGGCTTGAAGATCCGAACCTCAATAGGAAACAAAGAAATATCACTCGGTGAAGCCATATTAAAGGTAGACTTTTTTTCTGGGAAAAGTATAGTTAAGACCTAAGAAATCATCTAACTGAGAAATCAAATGGACATATAGAGCACCAGTAAACTTACCTTTTTCTGTCAGGTGTGTTAGGAATCTTAGCATCAGGATCTTTCTTGATAGTGCTCTGGGATGGTTCAGGGATTACCCATTCTGCTTACCTCCTACTGTCAGGCTTTCATGTGTGTGTCCTATTCTCAGTAGTATGGGTTGGCAAACTTTTACGGAACTGTGTGGTAAATATTTTGGACTCTGGGATCCAAGAGGCAAAATCCAAGATATTATTTAGGGAATTATAGAACTATTTTACACACATAAGTATTTAAAAACATAAAGACCATTCTTATCCAGATTTGGCCCATGAGCCACAGTTGCTGAGCACTGGTGGGAGGACTGCTCAGTATATTAGGCTCCACTATGTGAAAGAGCACAGTAGGATGCCATTAGCAACTGGCGTGAATTTGTGCATTTGGGGGTTCTCCACTGACAGAATGCAGAGCATTGTGTCCTTAGAAGGAGGTGCCAAAACCATGAAAAGCTTCTTTTCCACCAAGTACATGTAGTGCTTTGTGTCTCATTACTGATGTCTAAAGTGGCATAATTAACACTATTCAGAAATAGCTGAAAGTTTCCACCAGAGTCTGGGAAGTATAAAGGTTCCCCTTGCCATTCTGGCTTTATGAGTGCATAGAGAAGTGGAACATGACCAAGCTGTTACTATGACCATGCTAGTGACCGACAAGCAGCACAGAGAGATGATGAGAATGAATGAGATAATGTCTGTGAGGTGCTCTGAGCCCTTCAGAAGAAATTTTCTTTGTAATTAGAAAGTAATGCTCCATTATTACAGTTATTATGATTATCACCATTATTAAAGGCAGAGCCAGAAGACATGGCCCTTCCAATGAGAAAAGTTATGAATAAAGCCGAGCAACTCATAAAGGAAGTGGTTCATGCACCAATTATGAGTTTCCAGTTTGTAATTACGGTGTACTGGGTGGTTTTGCATGCACCAGTTTGTTATTCATCCAGAAGTACAACGCTTTGCATGTGTAACAGCTCCTGAAAAGTGCCCAATATATGCCAAAGACAAAAGGAACAGACGAAAAGCTCTGTGTGACACTGAGTTGCAACTTTCATATTCACTTACTTATTAAGGATCATCTTTAAATTTATACAGAAACCTGGTAAAATTTGTCAGTGAAGACCTTTTGTTAAAGAAAAAAATGCAAGCAGGAGTCTTACGTGTGTGGACAAAAGGCTAACAAAAGGAACCATATGTAATCACTTCATTCTCCCATCATTAAACATTGATACAAACTTTATTTAAGTACTGCTGATGCCAAAAAGTTAAAAGTTCAATATTACCCTCTTTCTTTGGTTCCAAAATGCTCATTTTATTCTGCCACGTCTTTGATCCCACAGATGGTAGAATGGGAAGGAATGAAAATGAAGGATAAGGAGTAAGCAAAAAGTCAAACTGAGGAGTTCATAGAGTCCTTGCTTGGCTAGTCTCAGTCCCTGATCCAAACCCAAATGGCTATTGGGATTCTAGAAGAACATGTCCAGCTGCCACCTTCCACCCTTCTCCATTTGTGTTCTTCCAACTCTGCTCTGAGGGCATTCTGAATGTGGAATTTAAGCTGTGGCTTAACTCTAGAACTCAGAGATCTGAAGTGGGAGACAGAACACATGACTGAGAACATCAGAATCTTTTCTCTCCCTGCTTCTTGGACAGGGTGTTCTATACCTTCTTTGTATGGAAAGTGTTGGTTATTTACCTCTTTCACACTCTGAGTTCCTGTATCTTACCTTGTAGAGAGCACACAGCCTTTTACATTCCCTTTCCAGGTTATTTGGTCCAAATCCACAGTTGGGTAACTATGTTCTCTTACACGTCATCACTGATGGAGAAATAGACATTGGGTAAGGTTGG